TTTCAGCTTCTGCAGATTCTTGCCAACACCTAATATTGTGGGTCTGTTAAATTGTAACATTTTTGGTGTAATGTCATAGTGTCTCATTGTATGCAATCCCTTGATATCCAGTCATGTAGACTAATTGATTATTATTCAGCTATTTGGTAGTACTTTTAAAAATTTCAAGTATTTTATCAAAAGCTTTGTGGGTAACTGAGGTGATGGCACCTGTGCAAATTGAAATCTCTCCATACATTCTCCTGAAAGCTGTACAGATCAACTAGAAGAACAAGTGAAACCACATAATCACTGCACTTTCAGCACAGCTATATAAAGAGCACTACTAAGTTCAAACTACCTATATGTAGAAATATGACTCCATGTTCTAGCAGAAGTATTGGACTCTTAGAATTAAAAGATATGGCTTAAATGCAATAAGTACCAAAAAAAGTAGCCTTGGTAGACTAGAATATTGATTATAGGAAAGAAGTCAAGAAAGTTCACATAAGACTCAAAGACGCAACCTTAGAAAGGCAACACTTCTAGGGAAAGAGTATTAAGTGAAGGAAGAGGAAACTTTTTGAATCTGTATTGAAAGAGGAAAAGAAAAGTGAGTGGTTAAATGTAAAATCCTGAGAAGAAAGATAAGAAGGAGAAGGAGCAGGAGGGGAAAGGGAGAGGAATTGGCAGGGAGGGGAAAAGGGAGGAAAGGGATGTAAAGGAGGAAGCTGGTGGAGGAGACACAATGTCCTAAGCAAAAAAAAAAAAAAAAAAAAAAGATATCCATTAAAGAGCCTGTATGCTTTTGTACTGGGCTTCTCGGGTGGCTCAGTGGTAAAGAATCTGCCTGCAATGCATGAGATGCAAGAGACATGGGTTTGATCCCTGGGTCAGGAAGATTTCTTGAAGAAGAAAATGACAACCCATCCAGTATTCTCACCGGAAAAATTATATGAACAGAGGAGCCTGGTGGGCTACAGTCCATGGTCCACAGAGAGTCAGACATGACTGAGCACATTATATATTACATTTCATGCTTTTATACCAACAGAAGAGAGCATGGATTAGCTAAGATTACTGGAAATTATCTCAAAGAGAAAAACTTGTCACCAAAATTCATATGAAGATCAACCACAGGCAAAACTCATCTATGGTTAAAAAATAATAAATAGTAGTGATTGGAGGTGTGGGTATTGGTTAGTAATGGGCAAGAAGGAACATTCTCAGTTATGGAAATATTTTACATCTTTTTTGGGGTGTAAGCTACACAGGGTGTTCATTTTTTAAACTGATTTGTCTGCATACTTGATACCTACTCATTTCACTGCATGGAAATAAGACCTCAAAAATAAACACTAGAATATAAATTAAGTTCTTAATTCCAAAATTGAGAAAGAAATTAATAAAGCAGAAAAAGCACCAGAGAAAATACATAAAGAAACAAATCATAGAGTAGAAGAACAGACATAATTAAAAATCAAAATTCTATTTTGATTTTAGACAGGTTTATTCCCAGAGGAGAGAAATATATGCATCTAGGAGTTTGACTGCATACATTACTTCTACTTATTTTTCATTTATTTAATTCTTGCTTATCACTCTTATTCACAGAGATTCATTGAGTCATTCAATGAATATTGTTTGAACAACTGTGCATCATTTGTTACCATAGGTATTAGAGATACAAAGGCACACAAGAAAAACATGGCCATTGTCACCATAAAACTGAATTGTGTTTAATTTGGGAACACACACACACATAATGCCATCTCATTTGAGAGATGACTATCCACATCACATCATGATACTTTATCCCTAAACAGTTTGGCATAAGTCCCCTAAGAAAGGCGATGTCCTCCTATACAACCACAATGCAACTATTACACTCAGAAAATTTAACATTTATTCACTTTTACCGATGAACACATAACCCACATTTAAATATCCTCAGTTGTCCCTAATAATGGGTGTTACAGGTTATTTTTGTGTTTTTTTTTGAAGAGCTAATGAAGCATAATGTTTAATTGACATTTACCTTTAGTATACATAATTTAAAGTCCTTTTCCCAGCCTTTTTCAGTCTTTGATGACATTGGCATTTAAAAAGACCATGGTTCATCATGTTTGATGATCTTTCAATTTTCATTTGTCTAACTCCTTGTGATTAAATTCAGGTTAAACATCTTTGGCCCAGATGGTTACTATAGGTGACATTGTGTTATTTCTTTCAGAAAATCACAGTAGAAGGGATGAGACATCAATTTGTTCCATTATTGCTAACGTTAAATTTAATCATTTGGTTAAAAAAGGTTTCCATTAAAATTTACTATTGCAGAGGTATTCCCTTTACTTTATTATGAATAAGGAATCTGTGACATGACACCTTAAGATTGTAGGTCTGGCTTGTTCTTATTCCCTTAAGAGGGAGGTACTTTTTGTTTTTTTATAGAGAGGTATTTTCAACCCATTGATTTTAGTTTCCATTGATGATTCTTAGCTAATTCAATTATTAGTATGGTCATTGCAACTTGATAAGTTTCTAATTATATAATTCAGATATAGATTCATATCTGAATTTATATTTATATATAAATTTATAAACAATATATAATTATAATGATTATGTAAATTAATAAATATATGTTTAAATTATTGAAGTGGAACTATAAAGCCTCTTGATGAAAGAGAAAGAGGAGTGTGAAAAAGTTGGCTGAAAGCTCAACATTCAGAAAACTAAGATCATGGCATCTGGTCCCATCACTTCATTGCAAATAGATGAGGAAACAGTGGAAACAGTGTCAGACTTTATTTTTTTGGCCTCCAAAATCACTGCAGATGGTGATTGTAGCCATGAAATTAAAAGATGTTTACTCCTTGGAAGGAAGGTTATGACCAACCTAGATAGCATATTAAAAAGCAGAGACATTACTTTGCCAACAAGACAAAGGTCTGTCTAGTCAAGGCTATGGTTTTTCCGGTGGTCATGTATGGATGTGAGAGTTGGACTCTGAAGAAAGCTGAGCACTGAAAAATTGATGCTTTTGAACTGTGGTGTTGGAGAAGACTCTTGAGAGTCCCTTGGACTGTGAGGAGATCCAACCAGTCCATCCTAAAGGAGATCAGTCCTAGGTGTTCATTGGAAGGACTGATGCTGAGGCTGAAACTCCAATACTTTGGCCACCTCATGCGAAGAGTTGAGTCATTGGAAAAGACCCTGATGCTAGGAGGGACTGGGGGTAGGAGGAGAAGGGGATGACGAGGATGAGATGGCTGGATGGCATCACTGACTCAATGGACATGAATTTGGGTAAACTCCAGCAGTTGGTGATGGACAGGGAGGCCTGGGGTGCTGCTATTCATGGGGTCACAAAGAGGTGGACCTGACTGAGTGGCTGAACTGAACTGATATATAATTTATATATATATATATATATATATATATATATAAATTTATATCAGATGTAGATTTATTTAGATATAGAATGATGTCATTCTAATTATATCATTAGTTGACATCATTCTGTAAAGAAGTACTTTCCCTTTTCTATTACTTTTAATTTTATTCTTGTCATTATTATTTTTGTATTAGGAAGGACTCATAGACTCTCATAAGCCATCCACTCTGATATTTAAATTGTTCTAAATTTGTCCAGTATAAGCTCCTTAGTTTTGATACATCTCCATAATTATTGGGCACTTTCTTCCTCTATGAAATATTCAGATGCTCTAGCCTCATCCTGAATTTTAGATATCCTATCTTGGAATCTACCATTTCTCCATTAAGTCTTGGTTTTCCTTAGTGGAGTGTGATAGTTAGAAACCAAATATCATTAGATGATATGTATGATCTTTGTTACTTGGATTTCATTGCTTTTAGGCCCATTCAACAAAAAGAGAAAAAAAATCACCTATTAATCAGATCAGGTCTTTTGTTCACACCCTCAGTGACTTCCCATTTCACTTAGAAGGACAGTCAAAACTTTCAAACCTTCCCATAAAGCCCTACAGATACTTGCCATCCTCTCCCACCATTCTTCTGTCACCTTCTATTACTCTGACATTTGTTTTCCCTGTTTATAGCACAACTTTAAAATTTCTGCTCCTTATATGCAGCGTATATATATATATATATATATATATATATATATCTTTTTTCATTATTTGTTCCCTAAAAGGGTAGGGATTTTGTCTGTCTGTCACATGGTTGTCCATCAAAAATTGATTGATTGACTGGAAGAATGAAATATAAGGGTATGGTGGGGCAGAGGAATTATTATGAATAGTGAGAAAATAAGTAGGGAATAACTAAGGAAGTCACCCAGAACAAAGTCACATTAAACTCCAACTTAAACTACACAATAAGTTGGACAGAAAAATAAGTAAGTTAAAATTAGAGTGAAAATTTAAAATAATTTTGCTCTTTTGTTCCATGCCCATCCCAGCCTCTACCCTGCTTGAGACCACCACAAGACAGATCTTATTTTTGATGGTTATAACAATGGCTAGAAATCTTAGGAAAATGCTATTTCTTCTTATTTACTAGAAACTATGTAGGATTGCAAAGAGCCAGACATGACTTCAGCAACTTAGCACTCAGATTTCCTTAAAAATTTTTACAAAAAAATGTATATTGCCTTTATAACTCTGTTGTGTATTAAAAATGCAAATACCTATGGGGATTTACATATTTAGTCATCATTCAATATTACAACTGAAAAAAGTTTGGTCAGGAGTTTTCAGTTTAGCAAGAAAAATTACAAAGAGTTCTGAGATACTTATAAGCTTATACCAAAGGGTGAAAATATATGTAAGAGTTTGTTTCTTGAGTAAGTAGGAGAATAAGGAGAGTTAGAAGACACTTGGTGTTGGGAGTAAGGGCACCTAAAGAGTAACTGAAAATAAGTTATTCAGACCTTTTAGCTTAAAATGGCTCTTGATTTGAAAATAATTACTGTTAAAAACAAGCTAAAAGAAAACACAAGGTCTATTTGTGCTATTTCTTTTCAAAAGTACTATTTTCTACCCAGACCTGGGAAGTTTCCCACCATTCAGAATTTTTTTAATGGATTCTTTGACATCCTTGTTCCTAAGGCTGTAGATAAGGGGGTTAAGCATGGGAATCATTGTAGTATAAAACACAGAGGCCACCGTCTCCTGTATTCTGTCACTGGTAGATGGTTTAAAATACATGAAGATTATGGAGCCATAGAAAACCCCAACAGCTGCAAGGTGGGAGCTATAAGTACTGAAAGCTTTAGATCTGCCTTCAGCTGAGTGGATATGCAAGATGCTGGGAAGGATGAAAGCATAAGAGATGAAGATGGCTACAGCACATACAAAGACATTGAATCCAACCAAAATCATCACTGAAAGTTCCTTGGTGTAGTCTCTTGAACAAGATATATTCAGAAGAGGAAGGATGTCACAGAAGTAATGGTGGATGACATTAGTGCCACAGAAGGAGCGACTAGAGTGAAGCTGGTGTGAATTAAGGCTCCAACAGCCCCCACTATATACACACCGGTGACCAATAGGAAACAGACTCTGTGGGACATGGTGTAGAGCAAGGGGTTACAGATGGCAACACAACGATCAAATGCCATGGCTGTCAGCATGTAGGAGTCATTAATAATGAAGAAGGAGAAGAAAAAGAGCTGGGCCATGCACTCAGGAAAGGAAGTGAAGTTCTTCTCTGACACGAAGTTTACCAGCATCTTTGGAATTATGACCGAGGAGTAGCAGAGATCTATGAAGGACAAATTACTGAGAAAATAATACATGGGCATGTGAAGCTGAGAACTGATCCTGATTAAAATGACCAAGCCCAGGTTGCCCACCATGGAGACCATGTAGATCAATAGAAACAGGAAGAAGAGAGGGAGCTGGAGTCCTGGCTAATCTGTTAACCCCTCAAGGATGAACTCAGTTACCAAAGAATGATTTCTTGTGTCCATTCTTCTCCCAGTGTGGTTTGGGGAAGAGATTCTCATTGGCCAAATATTGTCATCTGACAGGATTTAACAATCCAAGATCTGATGAATGACATATTTTCTAACTGACCCAGAATTTCAGGAAACAAGAAACTAAAATCTACTCCTGATTGAAGACTTTCTCAAGATGTTGATGCTTTATTTGGCTCCAGTTTTTACTACTCTCAAGTGACATTTAGGGGTGAAAACCATTTTGTCTTTACAAATGGAATTTTAGATTCCTCTACTAATGGATGGATGGATGGAATCACCAATGCAATGGATATAAACTTGGGAAAACTTTGTGAGATGTTGAGGGACAGGAAGGCCTGGCATGCTGCAGTCCATGGGGTCACAAACAGACAGTCACAACTGGGTGACTGAACAACAACAATTAATGGAAAACCACCTTTCTGTAATTCAGACACCTTTGGAGAAACAGTACAGTGTTGCCACCCTGTTTTGTTGATGTTCAGTCTGCAACAATCTATGCTCTCTTACAATGTCTCAAGGGCTATTATAAATGGTCTCTTGCTGGCATCGCTTGCATTTTTCTTCTTGGCTTTGGCATCTTTAACATCTTTAATTTGGTCTTCTCTGACTCCAGTTGCAAAGTGCTTATTTCATCCAGGATATCTTGACTTTTTCTTTGTTTTTGCTTGACTGAGAGACTGAGAAAGAGGTTAAGTAAACATGTGCGTTAAATCACACAATTTAAAAGCAATATTTTCACTGCTTATTTCACTAAACAAACCTTTAAGATTCTGGTGGGCAGGTGTGGAGATCTACTGCCATATGGCTACCAGACACTAGCCTCATTTTTTCATTTATTAAACCTGCCACCTACCAATCTGCAGTGACTTGCCTCTTTTCTCAGTCTTTCTTTGCCCTCTATGAATGGGAGCCAAAAAGGGGCAGCCATGTCAATATCTGGATAACAGCTTAGAGGGGCGGGATAGAGTGGGATGGAGTGGGAGTTGGAAGGGAGGGACAGGAAGGAGGGGACATATGTATACTTATGGCTGATTCATATTGTTGTATGGCAGAAACCAATACAATGTTGTAAAGCAATAATCCTTCAGTTAAAAATAAATAAAAATTTTAAAAACAAATTATCCTGAGTGAAATGAATTAAAAGCATCAAAAGATAAAACTTCCAATTATAAGATAAAAGCCCTGAGGATATGATATACAGCATGGTGGACTACAGTTCACAATACTATATTGTATATTTGAAAGTTGCTAATAGACTGGATCTTAAAGTTCTCATTACAAGAAAAAATTGTAACTAGGCGAAATGGTAGATGTTAACTAAACTTAGTGTGATAATTTTGTAGTAGATACATATATTGAATCATCATATTGTATACCTAAAACTTATACAGTGTTATCTGTCAAGTATGTCTAGATAAATCTGGAAATCAAACATTGTCTGTGCAGAGAGAATACCCAGAGTAAAGACTTTGGCAGAGAGCACGCTTGGGGTGTTGGAGAAACGCTAGGAGGCCAATGAGGCTGGACTAGACAGAACCTAAAAGACAAGTGGAGGCTGTAAATGGAACTGTGTGCTGGCTGCAGGTATTAGTAAAACCTGTGAATCTCATCTCATCTATGATGGGGCAATGCTGGAGAGTTTGCAGAAGGCAGTGTGTTCTGTGCTCTGATGTTTTTTTTTAAAAGGATCCTTCAGGCTCTGGTTGCTCTGTCAAGAATGTTCATTGAAGAGTGAACAAGGTGATTCAGGGAAATCAGATAGGAGGCAAAATGTGCTCCTGTTGAGAGATGATAGCTTGGACCAGACTAGTAATGATGGGGATATCGAGAAGTAGTCAGAAAAATTGTAGCTGGATTACAAATTGGATATGGGCATCTGAGAAAGAGTGCAGAGATAGGATGGAGGATATGAGCCTGAGGTTGGATCAATGGTCATGGTAGAGACCCTAGGACCCAGCAGAGATCTGTACTTAACTGTTCACTTTTCTCTCTTCTTTCAAATTCTACCAACAGGACTTTGGCACACTTTCTACCCCTAATTCTTTTCAGTCTTCAAGTAAAGCAATGCTCTCAGACAGTAGCCTATATTTACATGAAAGTTCCCCTAGGTTTCCTTTCTTTTTTAAAAATTTTCTTTGGTTGCATTTACATTCTTTGCATTACTCTCTTTTCTTAGAAAAATCTGAATAAGGAGTGCCAAGACTGGGATAAGATTTAATTATCTTAGTGCTATTAGAAACTGGACACACTTCAGATAAATATTAAAAATATATATACCTGTATGGATTGTGGCATTAACAAAAAATTGTTCAAAATTTCTTTTTTTTTTCATTTATTTTTATTAGTTGGAGGCTAATTACTTTACAATATTGTAGTGGTTTTTGTCATACATTGACATGAATTAGCCATGGATTTACATGTATTTACTTTTTCCTTGACAAAGTATTAGATACAAAGTTCCTTTAACTTCTTCTAATACAATAGGAACTCTTGGGTGATTCTGTCTCTGAGGCATAGGGTTGTTTGAAAATTTTTGAAGATCTTGATGTTTAAGCCATGAAAAAGAGTCTTTTTTAAATTAGAAACATCTAACAATTTAAGTTCTGGGATATGTTTCTCATTCTAGTATTGCAACCAGAAGAGAAAAGCAGACAGAATAAATGAATAGAGGTGTCAGAAAAAATGCTAGGATTTCCTGCCTTTCATTTTGAAGGTTTGTGAACCCACTGTTAGAAAGCATAGAGTGGAGAATGGCATGATTTTTGACCCTTAATGTAGCAGGTTATGAATTAGACTGAGTGTCAGGAGCTTGAATTTTTATTCATCGATTGACCCATTGCTAACTCAGAGATGTTGGATAATATCAATTGGTTAATGTCAGAGTCTTTCTAGTGAAAGGAATTCCTGGCCTGACTAAATCTTGTGATGTTACATTATTAATGCACTTAAAAGTTCTCTATAAACTGCAAAGTTGCATATAAATGAGAGATATTATTAATATGACAGCACTCGGGAAATCAAGAGTTTGAAGTCAGAACAGGTATAGAACTAGTGAGAGAAGAAATGGTCTCTATGCATTACACGCTTTATGCCTACCTGTCAAGAAGCAGACACCTGCCTGTTCAGTATTACCCATTAGTGTGGGTGATAAGAATTTTTAACTGCCTTCCAAAATTCAGCTTCAACTACAATATCTTATTAAGGGTGGATAGAATTTCATGACTTACCTGAATATTACCAACAGATGAAGTGTTGTTGGTCCCATATGATGTTTTAACTTTGGTCTCACATAGTGCATTCATGTGTGTGCGCACACACACACACACACAAGATAATTTTAGAACCAAGCATTAATGGCTCCAAATCTTTCTGATTCTGGAAAAGCCATGGAGTTGATGTTATATAAGGATTCAAGAAATGTTATCAATGAGTAACAGCTTAAAACCAATTAAGCAGAGCAAGAAAAGTAATCCCACTGACTCTCAGTCCTCTGTTATTGAAGAAACATTTTATTTGCATCTACGTGGACCTGAAGGAGATAATGTAGGCATAAATTCCCCTTAGGGCATTGTCATCCCAGTAGTTGAACTCTATAGGGAAAAAGCAATTATAAAGTATCTGTTTGTTGGCAGTATGGTGGTATTCCTATTCCTGGAGTGTTTAAAACAAACATCAAACTTCTTTCCCTGAGTGGTAAGAAAATTAATGATTCCATAACAAATATACTGTGGTTGGATGGCATCACTACCTCAATGGACATGAGTTTGAGCAAGCTCTGGGAGATGGTGAAGGACAAGGAAGCCTGGAGTGCTGCAGATGATGGAGTTGCAAAGAGTCAGATATGATGGAGTGACTGAACAACAACAGATAGCAAATATCAAACTTTGGAAACCATATTAAAATTACATTGCTTTATTAAAACCACACAATATCAAGTATTTCCTTAGCATTTAAAACTTTCTATAATCCAGTCAAACCCATTCTATCATCTCTGAACATAGAAAAATTTATTGTTCTTAACTCTTCTAGATGTTTTCAAGGATTATACATGGAGAAAAAGAATAGGCGATTTTTTTTTCTTTTTTTTTTAGTTTTTATTTTTTTCATTTATTTTTATTAGTTGGAGGCTAGATTTTTTTTTTTCTATAAGGTGTCACCTGGTCTCCAAAGTTTTTCCTTATATGTCACATGTCTGTGGAAAGCGTATATACATACACTTTCCCAGGTCAGTCCTGATTTCAAATATGTGTCTTTTAGCCAATAGAAGCTTCCA